ATATAACTGTGTTTGTGCCCGTGCGTGCATGCGCTCTAAGATACTTAGAACCATCGCTTCAATAGCTTGGATATACACATTTAACATTATCTCAAACTCACTAAGTTTATATGACATATATTTGGTCTTATTAACCTCTAAATATATCCCACAACCCAATTCAATTAAATACAATATAGCGATGAAGAAACAAATGTTGCATCGTGCAAGGTCAATTTGAAACACCATGCATTAATCAAAATCATCTTTGCATTGCCTGTTTTGCAACACCAGTTGTGCCAATGCGTCTAGAATGCCAAAGTTATTATTAATGAGAACCCATATTGCTCAGGTGACGATCAAGAAGAATTAAAAAAAATTCACTTGCACGTAAAGTAATGACAGAAAACTAATTCAAGCATGTGATGATAATCCACAAGAAAGGATCAATACACAGTAGAATTCAAAAATATGTAAAACAAGTATAGTTTTATTATTAAAAAATCATCACCAACTGCCATCATAATCAAATTCTTATTTGTCGACTCTAGTAAATAATATTGATCACATCCCATTTTTGAAATCCAGCAATCTAGCATTAACGAGTGGTTCCATCCAATGGCTCCTCATTTTATTAACTTAAAGATAGATCAAATATATACACACTTTCTAGATTCACTCCTAATCCCTTCACCATTTTGCTCTCTTCGTCTCTCTCTTCCTTGCAACCCAACTCCAGCACCACTCCCTCTCTCGAGCCCACTCACAACTTCCTCTATCCAACTCTCTCGGCTCCTCTACGCTTCTGTTTCAACCTGCAAACTTTCAGCAAGAAAAAGAAAGAAAGTCATGATCTAAGTCATCAGGTGAATGCATTACTATAACCAAAAAAAATGTGGAATAAGAGACGTGTGGGATCTAGTGATTTTGGTAAACCCTACTTAAATCCTGCACCCAAACAACAGTATTCGATCTCCATCAACTGCACAAAACTCACCCACCTTGCATAAGACTTTCCCGAGCCTTTAACTGCAATTAACCCTCAGACCTTTAAGTTCAC